CCCCAAAGCTGCAGACCAATCAAATGCAGGCTTTTAAATTCTAGAAGCCATTCTTTGTCAGTGGAAGAAACATCATTCAATAGGGCTACAAATCAAAGGCTTCTACATGTATGAGCCACTCATGAATGATAGGGCATAAACTAGAAATTTCTAATAGAAAGCCAACTGCGACTAGCTCCCTCCCCTCCCTCGAATGCCGTCCCCATGGGTAAGGCAGGTGACCATTACATATCGTGGGCTCAACCTCATGAATAATGTATGCATAAATTAAAATTCATTTCATGCATAAATTAATGTTAACGCGATCGACCGAGGGATCGAGTTCTAATTTGCATATTGTTCCACACAGCTATACTCAATTCATTCCATTCATGAGTAAAAAGGTGGCTGGTTATTGAGAGAAGAGTTGAACGCCCTAAATTACATATTCACCAATTAGGTGAATATGGGTTCTGGTGCTCAGCTACAAAGCCATGAAATAAATGGTGAAAGTAGATAAGCCTGCAAAATGTATATCCCTTGTCTTCCAATTTAATAGCATATTTGTTACAATATGCAAAAGAAAATAATAGAGAATTAAATGAGAAACAAGTTAGCTCAATTTCAATTTAATATAGAACAGTTTCCAATTAAGTGAGAACTGGGCATGAAATCGCTATAAGTACAAGTGAACTTGTAATACATTCATCCTAGAAATTCAGAATGACATGTGACAGTTACTCAATGATATAAAACTTTACATTACGTCATCCCACCGCCACTACTAGAGACAAGCCTTGAATGATGACGATGTAATCTGGTCTTAACTGTTATGTAAACTTATGTGTTCTGTGAATGCCGCTAATATGAAAACAATTCCCTTACTTTTCACTGACCAGATAAAGACAATATGAAAAGTAGTCAATCATTCATGGTCATTCATGCTTAAATTTCTTTTGCAGATAACATTGACCATAAAAGATGGTCATAATCAAAACCTGCAACCTTAACATAAAGTTTCCCCAACTTTTCCCTGAATTTAGAATTTCTCTAAATTCCCTGACCTTGACAATAAAATTCCTTTGAACGTTTTCTTGACCCGGGTAGATATGGAGAAACCTGTTAGTATTCGTGTCATAAAATAAACCAAAAACAAAGTCATGTCATTGGCCAAAGTTCGATGCCAATGTGGTGCAATTCTACTCCAGTAGAGTGATAGTAGAACCAACAATAAACTCAATCATTGTGTCATTATATGGCCTTTATTGACCTATGATTTGGTTCTAAAATTATTGTAAAACGTAGTTGGTAACTTAATGAATATGAGTGTTTCCACGAGTTCATCTCGTGTCACCACATGAGTGGGACTGTTTCCAATAGTGTTGTGCTTAGGGCAGAATTTATTATTTTTCTTCTATTCCCCCTCAAGCATTCTTTAACGCTCCGATCATTATTGACCTAGAAGAATAAATTTTTCTCATGGTCAGCTTTACAGCATCTGTAAAGTTTGATAATCAGATGCTTATCACCCTGACAAGGTGATAAATGTCCGGCCGTCAAATTCTAGGGAGTAAGTAAAGCTGCACTCAGGTCAAACTGGCCCACACTGCCGGAGGTTATCCCAGTTTCTGTAACGTGAAGCCGGCTAGAAGTGTTGCTGCTCCCTCTGGATGGGGTTACCCCCACAGCATTTGTTTTACCCGGTACCCATTTATACTCCTGGGTGGAGAGAGGCACTGTGAGAGTTAAATGTCTTCCACAATAACACAACACAGTGACCCAGGCCAGCGCTTGAACACACAAATGCGAGGGAACTTTACAACAATTTGTACTTCAAAATAAACACATCACACCAACATCTCATTCAATCAACACTTTATTCACCATTCTGATAATCTGACAGTTTCTACAATGTTGAGAAATTGTTTTACAAATCATACAACACTGGGGTCATACAGGGCATTATAATAATTACAAAATTGTCACCCTTTAATGCCCAATATTTTCCACGTAAATGTAAATTACAGTCATACAGCTTCTCTCTGTCACCCATCTTACTGAATTATTACAGTACAATCATGTTTAATTGCCCATCAAATACTTATTAATTATTAGTTAATAATCTGTTCATAGTGTGCACATCATGGGTTATCAAACTGGAAACGTTTGAATTATTATTAAGCAATGGCAATCAGAAAACTAAATGATGGTTTGTCAAACTTCTATATGCAGAAGAAACCCTTATATTAAATTTGAAAGCTACCAGTACACAGATTTCTTTACAAATATTTACCTACAGTGTATGCTTACGATATGGAATTCCATAATCAAGCAAAATGCTAATTAAAAATCCCTCTTACAAAAATTTCATTCTCTAGACCTTTGTATGTGTTCCTAGCTTCTCTAATACCTTTATTATAACAAATTCAACAATCTCCCAAACTAAATTATTGAAAATGTATCAAGACAGAAACAATATTGAGATCTTCATCTTACATGTAGGGATAAATGGGTTTAGTACATGTATTTATTTCCCATATTACACCCATAACTTTATCACTCCCACTCCGGAGCACTATTTGAAATGAAAAGTTATAATATAATATTATTAATATTAATAATTATTAAGTGATAATATTATTATTACATCAATAATACTGAGACACCTCAAAGAATGCTTCAACCCAAAGGTTCCATAATTACTACAAAATATTTATCATCGATTCTTAACATGGTTGAGCAAGTCATGCGAGGCAACAAAGGTGATCTGAGCAAGTACATTGTAAGCATCCCACAAGAAGGCGGGGCGGGGTGGACCCTTGTAAGGTCCCTTTGCTGTGTCATGTGTTAGTTAATTCACAAACTTGGAAAATGACAAGAAAAAGATTTATGTTCTCAAATAATAAGAAAATCAACATACGGTATGCACAAAAGAAACTGAAATATGAATAACCATTCATTTTCTTGAAGGTATGAAGTAATCTTTTTGGTTTAACCCTATTTGAAATAATGGTATTGTCATTTCCTGATCTTATGCTATCATTTTGAGAAGTGAATTTCTATTTTTACACTAAACATTACACATATACCACAGCTACGCTTGAATATAACTGCAAAACAAAAAAATAACAAAAACCCAAATTAAAATAAAAACCCATGTACATGTGATGTACTTACATGCAAACAAAATAATACAAAACAAACAATTAGTGGTCGGATCAAATTTAAAGCACTGCACAGTCTACATTCTATAACTATAGCTTTGTTATGCTTTGTAATGAAAACAGTAGATGTGGTTAATTAATATGCTGAATAGAAGTTCTAATTATATTATAATTAAATATAATTATACAGTCATGAGCTAATCTACAGGTGTACAACACAAAAACACTCTAACGCTAACATAATTATGTAATATGTTCTCTTGACAGTAACTTCTTTACGTCACAACCTGAAATATTAAAACAATGTTATTAATTAATGGTTTACTAAGCATTTCACTAGAAAGACGAAACGTCATCAACTTACAGTACAATTACTGTAGGTTAATTATTTTATTTCAGTGAAATGTTAATGAAATAAATTCATTTAAAATTATGAATTTTAATTCCTTGTTTGGAACATATAGAATAGAACATTTGCTATCAATAATTCTTATGATATTACTTTAGATTTTTACATGCTTAAAAAAAGTAAAATTATATAAAATAATTTATTTATTATAATTTTTGTAAGTTACAATGTACAGCAGCACAAGAACTGTTAACTTTTTTCAATTGACATACATGTAAACTGGAGTCCCAACATTGAATTTGAACTTAGTACAATAGGACAGTGGTTAGTACTAACTTACTACTAACTGGGAAACAACAAACATTTCTAACAATCATTGTTTCCAAGAATGGGTAGGAGAGTTTTTGCGCATTACATAAAATAATAACCCCTGAGGGGAAGTGAGAAAAAACCATGTTTGACCTGCTGGAGGCAGGTGGCTAATTTATGTCACTTGATAATAAATTATTACTTACAATTTGAACACCATATTATTGTGAAAAGAGGAAAAGCAAAGATACCAAAACATTGGAAAAAATTGTAACAAGCTGTTTCTGAAAACTACATCATGGACTACCATGTAGATAGCATAAAGATATTACTTCATAACATTTTGGGGGTTTCCATACATGGTTATAAAATTAATGCAATTAAACTATATAAAGATATGTTTTTATTCCAAGCAATATATACCTTTTTTTTTAATGAACACACGTATACAATACATTCTCAAAAACTGCAAATTATGGAAAGATTTGAGGAAAGGATTGAAATACTAAGCCAAAGCCCTTTTAATTTTCTGATAGATGTTTTAAAGTTCAACATCTTATTTTTAATATAATAAAGAAAATCTACATTTAACACAATCAACAAGTACTTGTCACTCCTATTCAAAGGCAAACCTGCTCATTGACGAGAGCCAATCAGTGAGCAGTTTTGAGACAACAGATTAAAAAGATGATTGGTTGAACAAAATGAAAACAATGTGTTAATAATTTATGAAGTATATAAAGGAAAGAGATCAAAAATAAGTTTGTTAACTGGAGATTGCTTGTAGTGTTGTAAAGATGAGAAAATATTCGAAAAAAGTATAATATTTCAAATATTCGTTTGAGCAAATTGTTATGTTTTCATTTGTGTAAATAAGAAGAAATATCTCAATGGTGATGATGGATTTTTCACAGATATTGTAAATGTTGATTTTCTTTTGTTGTTTAATTCATCACTCCTGATCATAACTAATTTCTCATTTCCTTTTTTATAACAAATTCAAGTAGCTGATCATGTCAGGAAAATGGATTGATTGAAAACCAATTCTCCTATGTAGGAAAATAGAAAATGTAGAAAATTGACCAAATTTGATTAAAAAACTACAGGTATTTTAGGGAAACAAAAATTTATCCTAACAGTACATGTATGTGGGAAGTTTATCACATTTGAACTTCGTAATATGACCTAGCTCCCACAAATCTCCTGTAGCTCAGTGGTAGAGCGTCCGACCATTGTGCGGAAGGTCATATATTCATTCTTTTTGGGAGAACTCGGAATTCTTTTTTGAGTATCTTGTGTCACTGACTGAATAATAATAATTTATCATCTTTCTCATTGTGTGTCTACCAAGCTTAAAATTTACCATCACTTCTTTCCAAAAATTACATTGTTTTTGAGCTGCTAAAAATTGAATTCAGTCTCTGACAAACAGTTTGGTCTGAAGCACTGCAAAGAATTCCATTGTTTGTTATTTGTGCTCTGAACAAGCCTGTAAGGTTAATGCAGGTTCTAAGACAGGAGAATCACACTGAAAAGTTCATTTTAAAGTAGTTTTAATTCACCATGTTCTGTAAATCCTAGATACAACAGTAACACATGCATTTGGGAAGATCTTACTAGGATCATCTGCCTTCTAAAGGCAATAATAAATATTTTACCAAAACCATAACTTCAATTTATAAAAATAAAACTTAACATAGATTGTTTTCCTTTAAAACAATATCAAAGAAAATCAATAAAATAATGCATAGAAAAATGACTTATCCCTAGCTCATAAAATCTTGTGAATGAATATACATGAAGGTTACTGCAATTTTTTACAAATCAAAATAATGGGTTAGCCCTTACAAGGACAAATATATATTTCTTATTAATTTAATTTATTCTGAGTGATGAAAAGTTTAAAGTGTCCCAGAAAATAATTTAACTGAGTATTTGATTGTGACATTGTTAGCTGCAATATTATAACTAAACTCAAAGTCAATCTATAGATTATTATGGACGTTAGTCTATAACACCATACTATACATTCTGTCTACAAATTGACTTAAAACTAATGTGAACCTTTTAGCAGAACAAAACATTTTTCCCTAGCTATATATCTGCAAATTAAACTTTTTCACTTGTACACGACCGATGTAAATTTTGCTAATAAGCAGAAATAATTATTAACAATATTATTGTCAGGGAAATGACAGCATTGGAAGAGTCTTGTTCAAGTATGCGTCCTAAAGAGGTACAAAAGAAATTACTAGATCACAAAAGATGTAAGATTCAAAAGAAATGGTTAGTCTTGCAACCTTGAAAATTATGTAAACTGTACATGTATAATTATTATAAAGGAACAGATAAAGAACAAGTGTGAAAGTGAGCAAAAGAAATGTCAAGGGGAGGTTATCTTAAAATAATGACTGCAGCCCACAATTTCCGTTGTGTAGCTAGCTTCTGTAAAGCTTTGCACAGCCAAATAATAAGTTACTACATGTGTACATACATGTACATACTTTATTTATTCTCGAACAGATGAGGCTTATAAGGCCTCTAGCTAATCGCTAATGAGTCGAGTGACATTACATTACAATAATTACATTGTACAAATGTATTTACATTATAAAGAAAATTGGTATTAAAACTAATTACTTATTACTTGATTTAAACATAAATTAATAAAACATTGGAATTCTAAGTACTACATAAATAACAGTTACATGTGTCGAAAGTCATTTTCCTGATTCCCTTAATATACGAACGCTTCTCATTTAACTAACTAATTTATTCATGCATAATTCTCTGTTACCATGCTTCCTCCAATCATGGAACTCCTTATACTCTAGTATATAAACACACACAATCCTCCACTTTGCTCCGACGAAGGGCTAACGCTCGAAATGTCAGCTTTTAGAAATTCGCTACGGCGGTTAATTTACCTTTATCAACTCCGAGTTGATAATCAACATAGTGTTTCCCTTAATATATGTTGCTCTTAACCCTTTAAGCCCCAAGCCTTGACATAAGTATTGAGGCTTACATGTATGGATTGTCAAACATTGCCTTTACAGTGCGCCTACTGCAACCGGTGCCACTTAGACAATGAAAGCTAATCACATATCGCAGAGCAGAGTAGAGAATTTCAACTTAATTCCAAGTTGAAATATTGCATTGCACTACGTACAAACTGATTGACTTGAAACAACTGAAGTTGGAATTATTTGTTTCCAATCTGCAAGGTGATCTGGTATTCATTGTCAAAAATACAGCCAGTAGTGACCCCTGGTTGTTATAGTCACACCATATAATGCTAGTTCTTAGAATTTGGTGTTACAAAAAAAGAATACAATTTTCTTTATTCTCATCATCTGTCTAATTGACAGGAGAAGGAGAAATTAGATTTTCATCACTTGGGATGTAAAGGGTTGATAAGCTTTTCAGGATAAAAGCAACACAGTTTTACTTACAGTTTCTGTGTGTCTCCTGTTCGGCTATTCACCCATTTCTGATGCGCTGCGAGAACCATCGTGACAGCGTAAATTCCTGCCGCTATAAAACAATTTCTAAATGAATGAGAAGTTAAAAACAAATCAGTGTTATGATGAATTTGTTGACCTTACATTATAATTATGGCATGGTGCATAGTAATAATATTCTAACTTTCTTGTAATTTTATGCTATATCTTGTAAGCCAAGGTGGGATGTGAGAAAGTATTGAAGTCTTTGTTGGGAAGCGGGACGAAAAAACAACAAATCATGTGACTCCAGCACCATTCCAAAGCAGGGATAAGGATTCTGACTGGCGTGGGATGGGACAAAAATTAATTGTGGGAAGCGAGATTGGAAAAGCCTATTTTTCACCAAGAAGATCTTTGGCAAGGGTTTCAAAAGCATGCGGCATACAGGCATACAATCGTAGCCCTTGCCGTATACCAACATACAATCAAGGCAGTTCTTAAAATACATGTACATGTATGTAGTGTAAGCTGGCGATAGACCCGGGGGAAGGGGGGTTCTCCCCCGAAATACCTCCTGATCTAGAAATATGGGTATCCATATTCGAGACTTTTCCAGAACGGGCTACTGAAATTAACTACATTTCTAGAATGGGGTATTAAAAATTGGCCTATTTCTAGAACGGGGGATCATTTTGAATGCAAATTCTTTCTAAAACGGGGACCAAATTTGGAGACCTGGGCAGCACATACCCGAGTTCCACCCCACCCCGGGGGATAGACCTCGGGTGCCACTGGCATGCACCCTGACCCTCAACTTTATACTGTAGAGGATTTTATTTAGCCTTGTAGTATTAATCAATGATTTCTATAACCCGATACTGACATGATTACACACTCAAAACAGTACACAATATAAAAGCAATAAATTGACTCTATCCCTTACTTTGCCGACGATTTGTAACCTTTTGTTTCTTCCAAACCACTTGGAAGATCTTCTATAAGTGCTACACTCTTTGTACTGAAAAATACGCCTAATAGAAGCTGAAAACAGAGAAATCAAAAGCATCGGTTTATTCGCTTACTTAACTCGTTCAATTCTGATGTGTCGATAATTGCTCGCTTCCTTACGCGTGAATACACCGAAAATAGCAATTAAACCTTGAAAGTAACAACTCACCAACATTATTACGCCCCATAAGCTTAACAAAAAGCAACAATTTGCTATTTTTGGGCCACAAATCCTAATCATCTTTGGTTTGATCTCTAAATTCAATATGGCCGATCGCAAATTGTCTCACGTGACCCACCCCTCGTTTTCATCCCATTTGAGAAAACACTGGGGCGAGTGGGAGTAATTCAAATATGGCGGCCGAAGAGTTGAGTGTGAGCTTCAAGAATTCATATAAAGAAATTTCCTTTCAAGCGCCTTGGGGAGTTATCGCAGCTAAAGCATGGGGACCCGAGGATGGCAAGCCTTTCCTTGGGCTTCATGGATGGCTAGACAACGCTAACACATTTGACAAGTTACCTGAAAACATTCGTTTCGTTGCCATTGATTTCCCAGGACACGGTCAATCTTCCCACAGATGGCCTGGAAATATGCCATATCTTCACTTTGAATATGTTGCTGATACAAAGAAGGTTGTTTCTCAACTGGGATGGAAAAAGTTTTCGATCATTGGCCACAGTATGGGAGCCAGTGTGGCATCGCTATATGCGGGGAGTTTCCCAAATGAAGTAGAGAATATTATATTGATTGATTATGGTGGACCGCCTCTCCAGAACCAATACAAACCCGCTAGAGTGTTAGCTAGGTATGCAACTAGAATGTCGGAAATGAAACCAAGAACTCCTCGCGCTTATGAAAGCGTAGAGGCTGCAGCTGCTAGACGAGAAGAACCTTACGCTGGTATCACTTTACGTAAAGAAGACGCGTTGTTATTAACAGAGAGAGGAACTAGAGTAATCAAGGAAGGTGTCATTTTTTCGCACGATCAAGGTCTTAAAGCCGCAATTTATCCATTTGTGGTGCCTCAGTCATCACTGAAGCTAATCCTTTCCAAGATTCAGTGCGCAGTGTTGGTGTTAGAAGGTACAGATAGTGTACGTTTCAGTAACGAAGATCGCTTGGCGAGGCTCAGTGTTACTTGTCAACATGCAAAGTTCCACGTGTGGAAGAGTGTTCAAGGTGGTCATCATTTCCATCTGGATAATCCTGAACAAACTGCACAGGAAATTAAACAATTTTTAGCTCTTTGTCATGATTTATGCAGCAGCAAGCTGTAGTGGGCATCAGTCATGTATACTAATCAACCTAGCCTTGATATTAAAATATAAAAAAAATGAAGTATTAATATTTAACTTTCCAAATAAATACAGAAATAAAAAAAATCAAATATTCATAATGACAGAGCAGAGCTTTCAACCTGCACATGAGCTGGAAGCCTGGAGTTTTATTCAGGGGCGGATCCAGGAATTTTTGACAGGGGGGGTTCCAGGGTTTTCCCGAAAATGTGAAGTAGAAGAAAATTTTTTGGAAGTAGTTATTACTGAAAGGCGCTTCACAACGTAGCTACGTTAGGGGTGGGCATGGGAGGGGGGTGGATAGGGGGCGCTCCCCCGAAAAATTTCGACATTTCAGCCTCTGAAAAGTGCATTTTGGTGATTCCTGGAAATGATTTTGCTAGAAATGGTGAAAGCAAAAAACCATCAGGTCTGATAGGAGGGTCCGGACCCGACCCTCCCCCTGGATCCGCCACTGTTATTCAAATAAGAAAGGGAATCTCTGTTGCCAGATGTAAACAATCATGTTAGAAAAGATCAC